GTCTGTAAGCTGATGGTCTACGGAAAAGATTACGGTAGCCTAAGAGATACTACACAAATAAAAGAGCGAAGTGATCCTTGAGATGAGCGAGTTTAACAGAAATTTTTTTCAGTTGCTAGTGTAAGGCACTTCTCCCGATGATTCAAGAAGAATTATGAGATAAATATATAACCCACCTAATTACTCTTACCTGTTTCTATAGTAAAGTATTATTTTCTAATTTTAAGCGTATTTTCAGACAATATTTACTGAGTTCGACATTTTATTGAAAAATACTACACTGAAAACCAATAACATGCCAGCCGACAGCGCGCCTGAGGCAAAAATGAGAAAAATCAATGAGAAACAAGCTTGGCTCTGCTGAGTGCTTAGCTTGCTGAGCGCGTCAGGGTATACTAGTAGATGTGAGTGAAGTAGCTGCTGCCCAAGTAGGCAGAACACAACGCTTTAAAAATATTTGAAAGTTGGAAACAAAAATAACTTCGAGGTACTAAATTGAAAGGGGCTGAGCCCGCTTATGAGGAACTATAACTTCACCAACGAAAAAAAAATGATTTAGTTAGTGAATTCGATAAAATCGAGGATTTTTGGGAGCCTTAGTTCACCTCCCGAGGTGAGAAAACTTAGCCAATATCAAACAAAAGGCATGTGAATTTAGATTTTTCCTGCTACCCTCCTTGGACCATAGATACCTTTCTCTGAGAATATCAAGCAAAAAAAGGTCTTGTAAGAATAACTGAAAAAAGCATTATTGTAAAAACATAATCACATGAATGAGTTTGTAACGTTTGGCGAAAGTGGATCCAGATGGTGAGAACTGTGAACTACCTCTGAAGAGGGACATCCGTACTTTGAGTCTGAAAAATTCAGGACCTTTGAGATCAACATTTTAACACAAGGTGTGGCACAAGATAATAATTATCACAATTAACATTTTACTTATTTCTTCCAAAAAATATAGTGTGTATAGTAAGAAGAAAGCTCTACAAACAACAGCGCCCCGGGGCCCTTTACCTAGCCCCCCCCCCCCCCCTTCATGAAACCCCTACAGAATTGGTTTCGATAGATGGGCCGGTGGTCGATTCGACTCTTTCCTCCTTGACGTTCGGCAGAGTCCATAGACGAAAAAAAACGCGATCGTTATGCATCATGTTGCTTTATGGTTGAAAAGCCCCATAAAGAGGTTATCAGGGCGCCATTATCAAAGCAAACAATGGCGCCTGACAGGCAGTTCTATTTTAGTCTGGTTGGAAGTATTTATAAGTCATGCGAAATAGATAAGAGATGTCCGAGGGTTGAAATGGCCTGTCATAGGGAAGATTCGAGAAAATCCGTTGTGTTTGCTTGAAAATTTCACGATTCCTAGGCGAGCGTGTGAATTTCGTGATCATCCAAGTCGTCAAGAGGACTGAGGTGGGTAGCATATGCCTTTATGATGGAAGATGAGCTCAGGGGGCGAAGTTGAAAAGTCGCGAGGGAGAGTGTTGGGAGGAGGGGGAGGGAGGTAAATTGGAAGGCAAAAAAAAACAGATAAAAGTAAATTATCAGTTTTTTCGGAATGATGTATGACTTAAAGGCGTCGATACGCGGTTTCATGATTTATCCCTCACCTCATCCCGCTAACTAAATCTCTCATCCTTCATCCCCTCACTCTTCCGATTTTAACCATTTTCCTCGCATTTTTCTTTCCTCCTAACTTCTCTTTTTATTCCAAATACTTTCTGCTTCAGCGTCCAGTTAACTGAGTTCAGACTTCTGTTTTAAGTTAGGCGTTGGTTCAAGGTGTCTTGGAGTTAGCAGACTTATAAATATTAACTAAGTATAAAAAAATAACTATTCTAATAAGGTACTTAAAAGTTTTTATGAGCTCGTAGTTATGGGGCAGCGATAGAATAAGGAAAGATGGAAAAAATCAGTTTCAAATTTTGCAGACCCTGAAAATCAGATCCAACCAAACGTTAGTCCAATCACGAGCGAAGTCCAAAACCCTGTTCTCCGCACCTACTTACTGAGAGCTTTTACAAAACAAAAAAAAAAAAATTCCGCTAAAATAAAAAAAGCACCATAAAAACTCACCATAAAGACGATGATGAATAGGGCGAGTAGAATGACAGCCAACACGATCACCATGGGTGGTCCGTGGTCTTGTGCTTGGGCAAGTGTTAGAGGAAGTGGTGCAGGGATTTCACAGGAATAACCAGTGAAACCAAATGGGCATCTGTAATCGACAAGTGAATTCATTTTGAGTGGAACGTTCAAACCCTCTTTTAAGGCCCTATTGATAAGAAAGATGCCATGTCAGCTGTTCGCATTACGTCATGAACTGTTTCGAAAGAAAAAATTGTCGGAAGTTATTTCATAAAAAACACGAAAATCGGGAGCGGAGGGTTCCAGATGGTGCTTCTTGGGGCGACCAAAAGACGATCTCATCACGAGCTCTCGTCGAGCACGAGACTCGTTAAGTCTCGACGATGTCCAGCCTTTTTGCTGCCGTAGTCGACTGCAGATCGATTCGAAACAGCGGGGAGACTTCATCCTTCCACGTCCAACTACTACAGCGGTTATTTCGTATGCAGGATATTTACTTATTTCTCCAAGGGATGGGTTATTACACCTAAAATGGGCCGTCTATGAGGAATGGGCTTCACCCTCAGGGTTCAACGAGTATACCCCCCATAACAGTAAAGGGGTGCATTCATAGACCACATAAAGCGCACTTCCCTTTAGTAGCATTCGTTTGGCCGTGGAATTCTCACACCAGTGTCAAAAAAGAAACTTGGAGAGGCTGTTAGAAAGATGAAAAAATATTATCTAAAGGTTCGCATAAGCTCTTCAAACTCCCTACCTTTTTCTTTGCAAAGCCCTAAAAGAGCTCTAAGGTTCTCCTGAACTCTTCAACTTCAAAGCTGTGGCTATAGGATGGGTTTTGTAAGATGACGAATAATCCGAACGCACAATTTTTACTCAGATTGGAACCTGTTGATTTAAGGGGGCTGTAATGCTGTAACTCCACTCATTATCAGTAAATAAAAGTGATAAAAATCAAAAATAAGGGCAACAAAGGTGTTGGACCTCTCTCACCCTAACATGGACGGGTCATATCATAAATTTGTAAACTGAAGTTGAATTCAAGTGAAGGACGTCAATCACGGTGTGTTTTGGATATCCAGTTAGCTATGGACTTTCCATTGAGAAAATTATTCTTATTTAAGTTAACCTAAGGATATGCAAGTGAATTCGTCATAGCAAAGCGGTTAAATTCTGTTTTTTCGAAAGAACAAAGAAAAACGGAATATGCAGTGCTGCTCAACTTCTTCTAATTTAGCCACTAGCCAAACTCTCGCTCCTTCTTCTAAAGTCGACTTGATGGTACGTTGCCTACACAGGAGGGGGATCGTCTGGTGAGCGATAACCTATTTTTTCTTGTCAGAAGAGCCTTATTCCGGCAAACATGTCTCAAAAGGGCAGAGTACTTATTCAGGGGTGTGAATAAGTGGTAAGATCCGGGGCAGAGTCAATGGGGAAAGAGCCGTCGTAAGCTGCTACTTATCACCATCACCTTCAAATTGATAAGGGAGCTACGTGCAGAGAAAAGGGAATCTTGGCAGACTCGGTTACTTGGCATTTTTCTTTTCCAATACGTGAATCACAATAATTTAAAATTACGTGGGAAGTTCCCGGGCAATGGAACTTCCCGTCGATGCTGCCTAAGGCCTTCTTCTGCGGGAAAAGGAGAGCTGCTAAGAGGTGGGTAATGATGATAGTCATTTGAACAATGCCATGTAGCCAAAGTTCTCCGTTTCTAAGTTCTGAAGTGCGGTTTGACCTTAATAGACTCAAATATGGGGGTTTGGTTAGCGAATATGCATGTGAAGTAGAAACAGAGATTAGTAAAATGCAGTAAGGTGGAACAGGAAAAAAAGCAAACTTTTGAGTAAAGCGAATCTTTTTAATTTTTTTGAAAT